CACCATCACCATCTCCACCATCATCATCATCACCATCAACATCATCACCAAGACCACCATCACCATCACCATCATCACCACCATCATCAACATCATCACCAAGACCACCATCATCATCATCACCATCAACATCATCACCAAGACCACCATCACCATCACCATCATCACCACCATCATCATCAACATCATCACCAAGACCACCATCACCATCACCACCATCAACATCATCACCATCAACATCATCACCAAGACCACCATCATCACCAAGACCACCGTCGCCATCACCACCACCACCACCATCATCACCAAGACCACTGTCGCCATCGGTATCACCACCAACACGACCACTCCATCCCAAGGCTTGGTAAGCAATGGCCCACAGGTTTAGTTTGTCAATAAAGTTTTATGGGAACCCAGTTCCCTTTCTCACTGCCAAATTCTCCAGGGTCCTTGTGTGCTACAGCCATCGAGTGGAACAGCGGTCACAGTGCCCAGGTGGCCCGATAGCCCAATACGTTTGCTAAGTGGCCCCCAGAGAAAGCCGGCTGACAGGTGCCTGTGCGCTGGGGCGCCTGTCCGAGTCCTAGCCCCTCTGCTCAGATCCAGCTTCCTGCCGATGCACACCCCGGGGGGCAGCATGTGACCCCTGCTGGCTTCAGCCTGGCTCAGCTCTGGCTCTTGCAGGCATTGGGGGAGCAAGCCAGTGGATGGGAGACTGACCGATCTGTCTCAGGTAGACAGGCGGATGACTGACAGATACGGAAAGATGGACTGACTCCTAGACAGACAGCTGGCTAACCCCGTGCCAACCTAAGGCAGCACGAGGGCCCTGCCAGCTCCGAGCAGGCAGCTGAGGGGCGGGGACTGCTCTAGGGCACACAGAGTGACAGCAAGAAAGCTCAGCCCCCCCCCCTCCGGGGCTGGACCGCAGACTTCCAGACCATTCCAAACCCTCCCAGGGAGAAGGCCGGCCTCGCTTCGAGACCGTCTCGGGCGCAGAGATTGCAAGCGGCAGCCCGCACGTGCTTTGCCCGTTCTTTTGGTGACAAAGCCTGCTTGAAATCCCGTGGGGAGACAGCCAGGCAGGGGCCGAGAGGACGCTGGCGCCACAGGCGAGCCCCAGGGCGTGGTCTCCTCACACAGCTGGGAGACAGGTCCCACGGTCCCCACGCTCCCAGCCTTGCTCGGTGTCCATGGACCACGGCCTCACAGCCTCGCACCCCTGCACGGCCCCCAAGGAGACTCGCAGAACGCCCCAGAAACCCGGCCAAAGTGCGACGCCCACAGCACCTGGCCTGGCTCCTCTGCAGGCTGTGCCCTAGTCAGCAGGGGACATGGGAGAGGCCAGCGATGGATAGTTCACCCCTGCCATGTCTTAACACCACCTCTGTGGGGTTATCAGGGTGGGCTCCCGGCGGGGGTGGGGGTGGGGATCCAAGCTGAGTCTTGAGAGCAGAGAATTCTGGGAGGGGAACAGCAGAGAGGGGCGGGGCCAGGACGCAGGATGGAAGCCCTGCCTTGACGTGGGAAAATAACGCAGGTGGCCAACGCAGGACGGGCCCGGGACGGCGCCCGACTCCCTGCCTCTGCCCCTCCAGGAGGAGCCTCCCACCCCGCCCACCCGCTCAGCCTGCAGAGCAGACTCGGCAGTGATGTCCAGGACGGACCTGGCCTTGAGCGCGGGGCAAACAGGAGCCCCACCCCCACCCTGGGAGCAGGGCCTGCAGCGCCACCCACGCCCACCCTCCTCCAGCCAGCCCAGGGCACCAGTGCAGGGGAGGCCACTGGGGGTTCAGACTCCCAGCGCTGCCTGCGTGTGTGACTGTCACACAGAGCAGGGCTCCCACGGAGGGGCGAGGGCCTTCCCCACGTTGCTGTGTGCTGGCGGCGAGACCCACGAGGCGAGGCGACAGCGCCACAGGCTCTGACCCGCCCCTGCCACATCCCAAGCTGGCCAGCATGAGGGAACCCACACCTCCCAGGTTCTTGGACGGCGCTCGGCGTGGAGGCGCCAGCACTGCCCCAGCGGCCCCGCCCGTGGGCGCCTGGAGCCCACTAACCTGGTTGTAGAGGGCGCAGATGTGCAGGGCCGTGTTCCCCGAGGCGTTCTGGGCGCTCATGTCGGCCCCGTAGAAGAGCAGGTGTTCCAGCTGCTGCACGTGCCCGTACCTGCAGGCCTGGAAGACAAAATCGAGCCGTGAGCGGGCCCCCCGCTGCCTGGCCACACACTCACGCCCCCTGGCCATGCCCACCAGAGCCCCACGACGTGGCCAGGCCAGTATGCCCCCGCAGCCCACCTGGGTTTCAGACCAGGGGCCTTCGTGGCCCAGGGCGGCCCCCAGGCACCCGGCTGGGGGCTGGGGAGAGGGACCCTCAGGACAGGTGTGGGGATTTGTGCTCAGTTAGGCTCAGCGGGGCCTCCGGGCAAGGGCCCCAAAGTTGCCTTCCCTCCACATCCTGGGTGGCTAGGAGCCCAGAGACACCCAGGCCACCCCACCTGCCTCGGTTACTCCCATGCGGGGGGCGGCCTGAAACAGCAGAGGGAACACACAGCCCCCTCCCCGTGCTATGTCCAGGGCAGCAAGCCTGCACCCACCCTCCCACGACAAAGGGCCGGCCCAGTGCGGCTCTGAGGTGCCCCTCACAAAGGGCCAGGGCAGCCCCGCCAGGACATCCTCTCCCTGCTCCCCAGAGCCCTCCCAGGGAGCAGGTGCACAACCTGGGCCCTCCTCCGGTCAGGCTACTGGGCACGCATCCATGGGCAGGGACCACAACCCCCACGCAGGGCTCAAGGGAGGGTCTCGTGGGACCAGGGGCCCCTTCAGTGCCCAGGAACCCAGCACTGCCCCCTCCCCGCCCCACTCACGAGGGCAGCGAGGGCCCTGGGGAGGGGCCCAGGGCCTCCTGGGGAATGAGGGTCCCGCCCCAACGGTCGGGCGCACAGAGAGTGGTGCGGAGAAGGTGGGCAAATCATCAGCTCCTCGGCTGCCACTCAGGCTTCTGCTCGCCTGCACCTGACAGGGGAGAGGCACAGTGCCCGTCCCCCCAAGCCGGCCACGCGGACAGACGCACCACCCCCGACCACCAAACCCAAAGTCCCGAGAATCCTTGCTCCTCTGCGACCCCGTGCTCCCGCAGGTCCCGCCTGTGGACGCCAAGGCTTTGCTGCCCAGCCCCCACCTGGCCTGCGTTCTCCTGTGGGGGCCACCCCGATCCCCCTCTCACAGGCAGAGGCCCAGTGACGGGGGGTGGGGGTTCTGCCTTCCAGGTGTGGTCAGGGCTGCCCGGGGTACCCCAGGGACCCGTGACGTCCCCAGGCCCAGATGCTTCCCAGAACCACGAGGAGACAGAAGGGCATCCTTCCTTCTAGCAAAGGCGGCAGAAAACCAACAGAACCAGGGGCCGGCACTGTGGCGGGATGGTGACGCTGCCGCCTGCAACCCCGGCACCCCACGCGGGTGCCAGTTCCAGTCCCTGCTGCTCCACTTCCCATCTGCTCCCTGCTGATGGGCAGGGTGGTCCAAGTCCTTGGCTCCCTGCACGCGCGTGGGAGACCCGGATGAAGCTCCTGGCTCGCTGAGGTCATGTGGGGAGGGAACCAGCAGACAGAAGACCTCTGTCTCTCCCTGTCACTCTGCTTTCAATAAAATCAATCAGAAAAGCTTTAAAAATATCTAAACAAACAAGAAAAGAAAGCCAACAGAAGCCTGGACGTTGCGGGGCTGAGACCCTCCACCAGCAGGGACCACAGGCAGGAAACACGTGAGGTGGGGTGGCGGAGGGAGGAGATGAGGGACCAAGCCTCGCGCAGAAGCCAGGACGCCCATGCCGAGCCCCCTGAGCTGTGGCGTCCCAGGCCCGCCAGGGGCGTGGTGCCCCCTCCCTCCGCCCCCACTCCCAGCACCCAGCCTGAGTTGGGGGTTTTGCTCCCTGGACCGACTGTGCCCTGGTGAACCCTCTCTCCCCAGAGGACTCGTACACGGCTGCGGTTCTCACACAGCTGTCTACAAAGGCGGGAATCGTGCGGCCGCCTCAGACTCCCTCCCAAATCCATTCCCCCTCCCCAGCGAGCCTGGGCTTAGGGGGCTGCTGCCACGGTGTCCCCACTGTCTCACCAAGGGTCAAAGCGTAGCCAAAGCTGAGCGGGGAGGAGAGCCGGTGCCGGTGCTGGTGCCGGTGCTGGGATGGATACGTGGCAAGGACAAGCTCAGGAGCGCCTGCCCGCCCTGCCCACCCTTGCCACCACCCTGTCCGACTGCAAACCACGCCAGAGAAGGCAGAACCGGGCTGACACCCGCGTCCAGCAGCCTGAACGCTGTCGGTCACTGGGTGAGGGCCAACCGTGCCAGGCTCCTTGCTCCTGAGCTCCCCGGGCTTGCCGGCAAAGAGCCAGCCCAGCGAGACACGAAGGGGATGGGAAGCCAGGCTGGGCAGCGGCCGACAGCTCAGCACGGAGCAAACGAGAGCGAGCAGGATGCTGGAGGCTGCCTTCTGCCGTCAGCAGGCAGTGACCCACGCAGTGCGGGGGACGGCAAGAGCAAAGCCCGTGGCACGGTCAGGGCATGGTCAGGGCAGTGTTGGTTCTCCACACAGCGAGACAAACAGGAAAACGGTGCAGGCAGCCCTCCGGATCCTCAGGTCCTCCCGGTGCACGGTCTGCGCTGGTGCCGACCTCACACCTTCACCGCCACAGGAGGACGACAAGGGTCTCACGCGGTGCCCGGGCATTCAAGTAACCCAGAAATGACTTAGCATACACGGGGGTCAGTGTGGCTTCTCTCAGGGGCGGGGGCGTCTGTAGAGGTCCCAGATCCAATCCCCGTGACACCAAGAGGTGCCTGTAGTCGGCACAGAAGGACAGAGGCCTGCCTGTCCAGGGCTGAGTGGGCAATGTGGCCACAGCCCGGTAGCCACGAGCACACCTCCCACCCCGCCGTGGTTCGCAATCACCACTCCGTGCCGACAAGAACCAGGGGCCCTGGCAGTAACGCCGATTCCAGGCTGCGGAAGAACCCGATTGTGGCGAACATGGGAGGTCTCATGGCTCCAGAAAGCAACCAAGTGCTCTGACCACGATGGGGACCCCTACACAGGACATGTGGCCGGCCCGAGGGGCTCCTGCAGGGAGAACACCCCCGGTTCCGTCCCGCAGGGTCGCTGGAATCCTGCGGCAGCCATGCTGCCCACCAGGAATACTCAGGAAGCAGAAGTACTTCCTCCTCACCAGAAAGCCCACTGATAACCGTGGGAGCCACTGAGGCTTAGATGCGTCCCCCACGAGTGGGCGGAACAGCCATGCCCGGGTGCTGTCCCCGCACTGCGCGGCTCCGCTGCAAACAGAAACAGGAGCTCACAACTGGACTGAGGCGCTACACACTGAGCACCAAGGCAGGAAAAGCTGGCCGAGCGTCGGACAGCGGCGTCTTCAACCAGACGGGCAGAGCGACCCTCCGCTCTGCAAGGGGAGACGCGGGTTCGGGCCACCGGGAGACAGCGGAAGAGGGGCAGGGGAGAACCGAGGCGTTAACCAAGCACGCACCCCTAAACCCAGGCATCTTAGCTCCTTCCCCAGTGCCTCCCAGGACCTGCATGTGGGGGAGCGGGCTCCACCCACAGCTCACGGGCACGTGGGGAGCAGGCTCCACCCACAGCTCACGGGCGAGGCCTGGCGTGGATCTGGTTGGAGAGGACCCTCCAGGAGGCTCTGGGTTTGCTCCAGCTGGGCCCAGAGTCTGGCTCGTCACTGCCGCCTGCTGGACACTTGCGCTAAAGCCACAGGCCCAGGGTCCAAGCACGCAGACGCCATGCTTAAGGTTCTGAGACAGCTGCACCCGACGAGGTGAGGCCCGAGGTCTCTGCAGACACCGACGGCATCCGGAGAGCAGGACGGCAGGCCCTGAGCGAGGGCAGCAGGTGCACCTCCATGTCCTGCTGCTGGGTCCCACCCATCCCCCTCCCTCTTCCCTTCCCCCATTGCCCCCAGGACCCCGGCTCAGGAGACGGGAAGCTCCGCCCATCTCCCCAAACTGGACCTGAACCCCAGGGTCAGCACACAGCAAAGCAGGGTACGGCTTGTGGGGAGCAACTGGGAGCAACTCAGACTCGACTAAGTTACTGGAATTAAGACTTATTCTATGCATCTGCTCTCCCACAATATGGCGCTGGGAGAGAAGAAAACAGCTTCTACACAGCTGCCTCCAGTTCAGCTAATAAACTGTAGGACTTGCTCCTGATTGGAGGAGAGCAGCGTACTCGGCGTGTGGGCAGCCGAGTTAGGATTGGTGGAGGAGGACTATAAAGGAGGAGAGAGACGGCATGCACCAGGAACATCTATGGGGAACATCTAAGGGGAACACCTGAGCAGCCCCCGAGAGAGCCGGCCGGCGGTGTGCCGCTCCCCTGCGGAAGTGGGGAATGTGGCCAGGGGGAACTGCCCTTCCACGGAGGTGGAAGGGATAGTAGCCAACCCGGGAAGAACCAGCAGCAAACCCGGGGAGGGCCGAGCAGACGAAAGAACAGCGCAGGGTCCTGTGTCGTTCCTCCACGAAGAGGGGGAGCGACATAATGGTGCCGTGACTCGGATATGAAGCCTAGGCAGGGCTTAGTGTCGCTCCTCCACGAAGACGGGGAGCGACACGGCTGACCCTGCAGCCCCTCCTCTGCTGGGCGGCTGTCCTCCCGCTGGACACAGCTGTCCAGCCCAGGACCCCACCGCCGCAGGGCATGTGCAGACAGGAACGCACTCAAGATGAAAACTAGAAAACGGATCTAAAGCTGACCCGGACGTTCTTGTGTTGGTGAAACACATCCAGGTGCTTTTATACCTCTTCTTTCTAATTTCCAGGATTCCCATAACCCACAGGCATGTTTTAAAAATTCAGTGACCAGAAAAAAAATTAGGGTAATTAGTCACACCAAAGTGCTCTTACCAACATCGGCCTGCAGGGGGCAGGACAGCACGTGGGTCTGATGCAGCGCAAGCAGGCACCCAGGAAGCTGCTGGAGGCCCCTAAGCCACGCCCAGGTATGGAAGGGAGGGTGCACTGCCCATGAGCCAGAGGAACCCCGAATCCAGGAGCTCCTGCGGCAGAGCCCAAAACAGCCCCACCCACCCTGCAGGTTCTTCTGTCGGAATCAGGGCTTCAATCAAGAGTCCCTTCTGGGTGCCTCCCCCTGGGAAAAGGAAGCTGGCAGCAGGCAGGGGACAAGCTAGGAGTGGACCCCAAGCTGACACCGGGCACCAGAGGGCAGTGCACCTGCCCGGTCTGCAGACCCAGCAGGTGGCCCAATGCAGCACCCCTGGTGGAGGCCGGGGGTAGCCCAGTGACTCAGGTCAACCCGGGTTGGTGACGCTTGGGTGTGTGGCCTCGGGGACGGGACCCAGCACCCACAGGGACCAGAAATGAAGACCAAGAGCTGGTGCTCCCAGAGTGGCAGCCAGGGCTCCCCAAACCCCCACAGGCAGCGCCCCCAACCTCAGAGCCACGGGCTTCAGAGGAAGAGGGGGATTGGGAGGGTGACTCCCCTGAGACAGCTGCCCAGTGTGGGGAGGGGACTGGGCTCAGAGAGCCCCCAAAGTGGAGCCAGGAGCTGCTCTGGCCCAGGGGCTGCGCAAGGCATAATGTCTGATGCCCTCTGGCACGGGGGACAAACACCCCCCAGGGATCTCACCCAGGCCTCTGCCTGCTGCCCCGACCGCCGTGGGCCAGCACGGCATAGGACCCCTTGCCCAAGAGGTGGGCTCGAGGTCTCAGAGACACACTCAACGTGTTTCAGGTTACAGATTTTCAGGTTACGGAAGCCCAGGTGCGTGCCTCGTCCAGCCCTGCCCCGCAGGAAACACAAGTGAGGCCCGCCCTCGGCACCCTGGTCACTGCCTCGGCCTCCCGCCCTGCCCTGGGGCCCCTGTGTGGCGCAACCTGTGCCCTGGTTGTGGGAACCCTGAGTGACCAGCTCTCCACTCGCGTGGGCCGCGCTGTAAAACCAGCACTAACGGGCAGGGGCCCAGGCGGAGCCCGGGACGGGGCCCCACCCGCAGCCTCCCGGGACGCGGCCCCACCGCAGCCTCCCGGGACGCGGCCCCACCGCAGCCTCCCGGGACGCGGCCCCACCGCAGCCTCCCGGGACGCGGCCCCACCGCAGCCTCCCGGGACGCGGCCCCACCGCAGCCTCCCGGGACGCCGCCCCACCGCAGCCTCCCGGGACGCCGCCCCACCGCAGCCTCCCGGGACGCGGCCCCACCGCAGCCTCCCGGGACCTCCTGCTGTGGCCGTTGCTGCTCCAGGTCTTTGGTGAACCTGCACTCACGTCTTCTGAGTTAGAAAAACCAACAACAAGCAGGTCAATCGAAGTAGAGTTTGCCCAAGAGGAGGACAAATCCTGCCACATCAGGAACCCCAGCAGGCGGGAGGGGCAGCGTCCCTGGCTCCTCAGAGGCCCACACTCGGCCCTGTGCCCGGGGCCCAGCGGCTGCTTCTCGGACAGCTCCCCAGAGACGTGGGGAGGGTGTGGCACCCGGGGGCCCTGATGTCCCTGTGGGGACAGCACCACCTCTCCAGGGGCTGCCTGCACCTGCCGCTGACCACGGGTCAGCCCGGTCTGCTCCTAGAATGGAGCTCACGAGAGTGTGGGCGTCCTGGGCCCCCCTCCTGCTGCCCACCTCCCGGTCACCCCTTCCATCCCCGGAGGCTGAATCAGGCAGACAAGGGACACCGTCCCGGCTGCAGCCCCCATGTGTCCCCCAGCTGGTGCAGCAGTGACATCTGATAGCTGCTCAGGTGTGCACTGAAGAGGGGGGAGATGGGCCCAGAGACCTCTCGGGGGGCTCTGAGCACTGGGGGCACACCAGGCAGGGGTCTGGGGGGCATGTGCATGGGGGGCACCGAGGCGGAGGCAGCCGTCCCAAGCTGAGTCGGGAGAACACCCCGAACCCAACCAAGTGCCCAGGGCCCTGCACTCCTCCCAGGGCCCCGGCCCCTCATAGCGCAGGGGACAAGGGGGCTGCTCCCTGCTGTGGGGGCACCCAGATCCAGGACAGAGCCAGCATGGACTGGTGCACCTGCCTGGCCCCTCCCACCCTGGCCGGTGAGCAGGGCAGCTGTGGCAGAGGGGGCGCACAGGCTCCCCAGGGAAGGCAGTGGAGAGCAGGTGCGGCGCTCCCCCCACCCCGACCTCCGGCACAGGCAGCCTCCTGGCAGGGCTCAGCCAAGCAGAGGGCAGGCAGAGAGAGAGGCCGGTTCTTCTCCCCAGCCGTGCTGCCCCGGCCTCAGGGACAGATTCTCCTCCACTCGTCCTCATCCTGCCCACACCTGCACCTGCCCCTGAAGCACCCTTCCTGGGGGCCACCATGGGGTGGGGTAGGGTCTGACATGCAGGTGCCCTGTGCAGAAACCGGGCTGCACCCGAGTCAGCTGTGTCAGGTAAGTACTCGGTGCTGAGCTCGGCCAGGCTCCCAGGTCGTCGGGGACCCGGGGAGCTCGTGGCTCCGGGGCTGGGGGGCACTCCCGGCCACCCTGGGGGCTGCTGCGCAGAATGGCCACAGTCGCGCCTGATCTTCTGATTTCTCCCAAGAGGTCACGAAAGTTTATTTCTACAAAAAGGCACCCGGCTTTAGGCACGGATGAGTAAGTCACACCCTGCAGCGACTCTGGGCAGGCCTAGTGACCGGTCTGCTGGTGGCATCCAACAGGGCTGCTCCACCCTGTGGAACCCCCTACCAGTGGACCTTGTCCCGACCCAGGCCCCCCCCCCACACCTGGTGGCCCCGCCCCACCCCAGGGGCCCCGCCCCCTCACCTGGTGGACCTCGTGCCAGCCGTTCTCATCCCGGCAGCACACGGCAGCGTGCTCATGCAGCAGGAGCTCGCAGCAGTAGGGGTCGCCGCCGACGATGGCCGTGTGGTACAGGGGCGTGAGGCCGTAGCTGTCCTTGTAGTCCGGGGAAGCCCCGAGCTCCAACAGGGTCTGGGGGAGGGGGGCAAAGCTGTCATCTGAGGTCTCCCGACAGCTTCTGCCAGGGCGAGGCGATCACGGGGGAAGCCTGGGGGCCGCTGTCCTGTGAGCTGGGGGAGGCACCCACACCCTGGGCCCCCGGGAACAGGCAGACCCTAGCTTTGGACTGGAAAGTGCCCAGCCCCAGAACAGCACAAGAAGCCCGGGCACACGGCCAGGCTCAGCTCCAGGACAGGCAGTGCCAAGGCCTCCTGGCCTGGGAAGCCCTCGGGAAGCAAACTCCATGCTCGTTACTGTACTCCCCCGGGTAACCCCACCCTGGGCCAGGTGCATCTGGTTCCCAGGAAGCCAGCATGGACGGTGCGGCTGGGACGTCTGAGACATGCAGGGAGACCCCGGCCGGGGGTGCAACCTGCGCTCCCAAGCCCCAGCAGGACCCCCCCCCAGTCCCCAGGGGAAGTGCGGGCAGGAGCAGACGGGGTGGGGCTGTCACCCACAAGGTGGCCCTGGGACTGACCTTCAGGGCCCCAGGGTTCCTGGCGCGGGCGGCTTTGTGTAGGGCGGTCATCCCATCCTTAGCGCGGAAGTCCAGGTGAGCCCCGCCGTTCCTGAGAGCTTTGATGGCCTCCGCGGGGTCGTCCAGCTGAGCAGCCAGGGTCAGCGGGGTCTCTGAGGGACACAAACAGACACTCGCTGGAGCCCACAGTCAGGGAAAGGCAGTGCGGCCCGCCCTCCCTCAGCCCCGCCCCAGCGCCTGGACTGGGCTCAAACGGACCCCGTCCACCGTACGGCTGCACAGGCTGCACACCCGGGGCCAGGCTGGCCTGGAGGACAAGGAGAATTTCTCCCCCTGTGTCCAGTACAGATGTCAGGAGGCCCCAGGCAGATCTGGGAACAGAAGACGCCCCCGTGCTATGACACAGCTGTGACCTTGCCGTGTTGTCTACGCATGGTCCCAGGCAGGGCTGGGGGAAGCAGCCGAGCGACACTGGCCCTGGTCACTGACCCTGTCCCCAGTCCTGCCCGCTGCGCACACTGAGTGGGTCCTACATGACACTGAAGAACCTCAAAGGCCGAGGCAGGACATAGGGCCCATCAGCCCTGGGTGGACGCCAGGGCTGGCCACGCACCCATTAACCTTTGTGAGGGTCCAGAAGCTGGTCTCTGGCCAGGACCCCCATGGCGGGGTCAACAGAGGCCCATGGGACCACCTCTGGCCAGGACCCTCCCCAGTGAGGTCAGCAGACCCTCATGGGACCACCTCTGGCTTGGACAGCAAATTTGCAAAGGGGGCACCCAAAAGGCCCCCTTGGGGCACTGAGGGAAGTCCCCTACGATGCTGGGCGGCCAGGCGGGGCCGTGGCTCCACGGCTGCCCTGCATGCAAAGGTCAGCGTAGCCCTCCTCTAACGAGCTTGAAGCCTCAGGATCTGGCGCCTCGACTCCGGGAAGACACCCCTCCGTGACTGCATGCCGACATTTCTTCAGTTTTAGAATGTACCGGAACCTCGCTGCATCTAACCTCTGGAATGAGCCCGTCTTCCGCCCCCGGAACCACGGAGGGGAGAAGCCCACAGCGAAGGTTCCCACACTACCCTGCAGCCCAGAAACCGCCCAGCAGCCGCCCTTCTCCAGGCAACGGCTGGGGAGTGCTTGGAAAGCAATGACAGGCAGGGGTGAGAACCGGGGCCCTAGCACAGCGGGAGGGCGCCAGCCCCCACCTCCTGCACAGACGCCACTGTCGGGAGGGCAGGTGCCAGGGGCGGGGGGTGAGGGCTGAGGAAGCCGCTGTGGCCCGGGCACACAGCAGTGCCGCTGGCGGCTCCACGGGCAGCAACAGAGACGAGCGCGACGTGAGCGCCTCCCACGAGAAGCCCAAGCAGGGCTCGCAACGAAACTGCGTGCACTGGGCGTGGTGCGGAGCTCGCGGGGGCGGCGCCAACCTCAGGGACTGCGGAGAGGACCAGGGTGGGAGGGGCTCGCTCGGCTGACACACGCTAAATGGGGGTGGGGAGATGGACATCCCAGGCGAACCCCAAACAAGAGGCGCGAGTGAACCTGCCCCACCCCCACTGGCACAGTGGCTCCCTGCCCAAGAGCCCGGGACACAACGGGGGGCTGCGAAGGAACACCTGACACCCACAGCCCGTCACGGTGGCCTATGCCACGCTGACGGCACCACGCATCACGACGAGGACTCTTCACCACTGGGGTCCCCCTCCCAAAGCCCCACCCTGGTAATCACGACACAAACATCCACTACAGGGGCACCCAGTCACACAGCAATGCAAGCAGCTTGGGGCCAGCATGAAAACCAGCTCGGAGACGATGAGGCAAGAGGACACCCAGAGATTACTACACAGCGTTTGGCAGGGGCACCACTGGCAAGGCTGCCCGGAACACACACTGGAGACAGGACAATCCCTCCAACACACGGCGCTGGCATCTGGATGTAGACAGAGATACAGATCCGTCTACAAGAGGGAACCAGATCCCCACTCAGTGGTCCGTCCACTCGAGGTGGACCAGTGACCTCCACTTAAGACCTGAGACTCGCTGGCGCCGCGGCTCACTAGGCTATCCTCCGCCTTGCGGCGCCGGCACACCGGGTTCTAGTCCTGGTCGGGGCACCGGATTCTGTCCCGGTTGCCCCTCTTCCAGGCCAGCTCTCTGCTGAGGCCTGGGAGTGCAGTGGAGGATGGCCCAAGTGCTTGGGCCCTGCATCCCATGGGAGACCAGGAGAAGCACCTGGCTCCTGGCTTCAGATGAGCGCGGTGCGCCGGCCACAGCAGCCATTGGAGGGTGAACCAATGGCAAAGGAAGACCTTTCTCTCTGTCTCTCTCTCTCACTGTCCACTCTGCCTGTCAAAAAATAAAAATAAATAAATAAATAAAAAAGACCTGAGACTCGAGGTTTCTGGCAAAGAAAGCACAGGGGAAACACTCCAGGACGCTGCGTAGGGGGTGACTCTCGGACAAGACCCCCAAAGCACAGGCAACAACGAGCGAAGTAGACCAACTCAGACGCGTCTGCCCGGCACAGGACACAACAGATAGAAGACTCCTCCCCCACTCCGTGTGCGTCTCCCGGCCCAGCCCAGCCCCTGCGGGAGCGCCCACCCTCCTCTGCACACACGGCAGGGCGCACAGAAGCACAGACCCGGGCTAACTGGCTCCCGCACACCAGGGGGCTCCCTTCCTCAGGAACCGCGCCCGCCGAGCCAGAAGCCGACACCTTGGCGCTGGCCAAGGCACATGTACTCCGCACCTTGGAGCTGCCTGCGTTTGCAGCAGGAACCTGGGGCCTCGCACCTGCTCCCCCGAGGACCCTACGTCCCAAGTGCTGCTCTTCCCGGAAAATTCTGTACAGCGACTAAGTGAGACGGCCAGACACAGACCACCTGTCACAGCGTGCTCCGCGCTCGGTGTCCTGGGAACCTTCTAATTGGGCCGCATGGGAGCGGGAAGGGACGACGCGTGGGTGGGCACAGGCTCACCGAGCACAGGGGAGCAGCCACATCACTGACTGGCCGCGGCAGCTGTGTCGCTGCCCAGGGAATGGGCTTAGTGACGGCATCCTCGCCTGAGACGCTGGGACACATCACAGCCGCTCTGACGGAGGAGGGGTCTGGCTTCCGCCCACAGCCTTGGTAACTGCGCCCGCCTGGGCTATGGGGAGTCGAGCTGTGCAGGGCGAGGGCCAGACTGAACGTGGCTCCCACTGTGGGTGCTGCTTCCCTCCTGGGGCTGGGCACGCCATCGTCTCGCCCCAGAGGGTCCACCCACAGCAGACGGTAGGGCTGAGACCCCAGCGGGAGAAGCCTTGCAGAATTTCTCCCCGACTTCCATCGCTTCCTACAACTCACACTTGGGACAGGGAGCACACAGCCGCCTGCAACAGCGCGCAGGTCGCTCCGCCGGGAGTTCACCAGCCCTGGCTTGTCAGTCACTCCCCGCAGACGCACTGCTCTCTGCGGCTGAGACGCGGGGCCGGCCCGAGGCTGGGGCGGGGGGAGGGGGCTCTCAGCTGGCTGTGCCCCCGGGAGTGACGGCATCTGGTCTTCAGCAAGATCTTGCTGTTAGACAGGCGGCCAGTGTGGAGCGGTGGAGACATGGACAGGGACAGCTACGGCTGCGGCGGTCCCTGGGGGGGCAGTGTCCAGACGCAGACAGAATGCCAGCAAGCTCTTCTGATCGCCGGGGGCTGCCCAGGGCTCTCGATGCGGCCCAACCCTGCACGGGCAGGACCTCCACTCCGAGGTGGAAGCTGACCAGGCACAGCAGCAGGTGGGGAGAGACCCAGGGAGGAAGGGCTGGGTCCCCCAGGCACGGACAGGCAGCCCTGGCTCTGTCTCCCCACTCGCCAGTGACTTGACGTTCGTCCTGGTTTGCCACGCCCCCGGGTCTCTGCAGGGTGACAGGACGTGGTCCTGCTCACAGCCAGGGCCTTCTTGGCAGCATCCTCACCCAGGGGGCGGGAGGCAGGGCTCCCGTGGCCTCCAGGCATGACAGCCCATCTCCCGGCGCCATCGCCCTGGGGGTCTAGGTTGACCTCTGACCTTCAGGGGCACACACATCTCAGACCACAGCAGCCAAGCAATCCCGGCTCCTGGAGCTCCGGCCTCCTCCGTGACAGTGGTGCCCGCAGGGGACCCACGTCTCGGCTGAGGACCCTGCGGCTGCTACAGCGCAGCGGCTGCCACCCAGACAGAGGCTGGTTCAGGGCCAAAAGGACACGAGGCTGAGCCACAGACCAGGGGCCGGGGTGGGGCTGATGCGCACATCACCGAGGGTAAGGGGTCGGCCTGTAAAGGCTGCACACCACGTGATTCCAACTCTAGAATGTGCTGGAAAAGTCGCAGTGACCAGCAGGGGCCGGGGGGGCAGAGATGAACTGGAGGGGCCAGCGGAACCACTCTGCAGGATGCTGGGAGGGCATCTGTCCCATGCCAAGGACGGACCGAGCGCAAACCCGGCCAGTCCAGTGCCGCAAACAGAGAACCAGCGCAGGGTGTGGGGAGGGGAGGTCACAGCGGGAGGGGGAGCCTCAGGGGGAGAGAGGCCACGGGAGAGGGAGGGGAGGCCACGGGGGGAGGGGAGGCCACGGGGGGGCCACAGTGGGAGACACTCCGTCCTTGCTCTTGAATTTTCTGTAAACCTAGAATTGTTCTAAAAGAGAATTTTCCCAGGAGAGAGAGAGAGAGAGAGAGGGAGGGAGGGAGGGAGGGAGGGAGGGGGAGAAGGCACAGGAGGAGGGCGGCAGGACAGCTCTGCTCCCCACAGAAATGTCAACACTGCAGCAAAGTCAATTTAGAAAAATCACCATTTGGCCCCCGCCCAGGGAGAACCAGTTCGATACTTGTTGCAATGGGAACTCTGAAAACAATGATCTCCGGGAAGACCCCAGCAGAGCAGAAACCTTCCCGCCTGATGCCGGATCCCGGGAGGGACCGGAGGCCAGGCCGCCTCCTGCTCGGGGACGCTCACGCTCCGCCCCGCCTCGGGCCCTGTGGTGCCTGCAGACAGCGGGATCCCTCTCGGAGAGAGCTTTGTCCCCGGCAGGCGGTGCTGGCTCCAGCCCACAGCCTGAGGCCCGCGTCCAGGGAACAGTCGGTCCCTGGAATGCGAGGGGCGGCTCCAGGGCCGTGGACACCAACGCCCCGGACGTCCGAGCCCCGCCTCTAACACGGCACGGCGCTTGCGCAATCGTCCCATTTGGCTCAAACGCCTCAGTGCCCTGGGGAACCCAGCACGGGCACTGCCGCAGGTTCACAGGAGAATGGAGTGGGAAGTGGGCGTGTGCTTAGGTGCCAAAAAAAATGCAGGGGTGCAAAATCATTTTATTTCACAGGTGGAAAATGCCCAGTGGGAAGAAATTTATGCTTGGATTTCCACCAAAATAGACGCCTTTGATTCTGCTGTGCCACAGACCGTGCCGGGCCTCGGACGACGCCGATGCTACGCTGGCCGCTTTCCCGGTGTTTCCGGGGCGAATGATGACGGAAAGGCCAGGACGCAAGCGGTGTCCTGAGTTAAGACTGGGGGGGGTCTGAGCTACACCGAGCACACGGAACCTACCGGAACAGGGACTGAGCATTCCGGGAAACACGGGCAGCTCGCTGCCTTCCCCGCGGTCTGGGCACGAAGCCATCTCTGCTGTCCCCGGGCTCCTGCCTGCCTGCATCGCACTTGAGACGGTCGCCTTGAGGCGTCAACCTGAGTGCAGTTCTTCGGAGAACACCTGGCATCGTGGGAAGCAGCGTGTGCGGAGGCGGGGTCCCCAGCGGGGTGAGCGTGCCCCAGCGTGGCGGTGGGGCCTGGCGAGGACGCACGCACAGGCAGGCAGCCTCCTGCTCCAGGCTTGGGCCTCACCACGGCCGGCTTCTGCCTTCCCGCCCTGAGCCACAGCCTCCCAGGCTGCACCTGCAGACGGGGTCCCAGGGTGAGGCCCCAGCAGCGCCCACTCCCCTCGTCCATCCTCCAGACGCCGCCTCTGGGCTCTCGCTCGGATGGCCGGCACCGCTGCACCGTAACCGCTCAGGACACAGTCACCACCCTGGCCGCTGACGTCAGCGCTGTGGCTTTGCAGGAGTGAGGCGCGGTGTGCTCTGCTCGCTGCCCTGAGTCGGCTCAGACCTGGGGACCCAGGCGGTGCCAACCCAGGTGAGGGCAGCTGCTGCGGGTCCCCCAGCTCCCTCCACTGCCGGTCCAGGTGGGGTCAGAGAGCTCGCCCCCTGCCAAAGCCCAGCTCCCACAGAATCTTCCGGAAAAGCCACAAAGAGGCCAGGACAGAGGCCTAAAGAGCAGTCAGGAGCTCCGGGAAAGAAAGCCAGGCCCGACGGAGGTGGTCCGTGAGCCGACCTGAAGGCTCACGGGCTCGGGGGGCCAGGGATCCATCGACCGTCGCAGCTCAGGCCGGATAAAGCCGCATCGCCCGGCACCGGGAGAAGGGCTCCTGTCCTCACAGAGCCACAGAGGAAGAACCACCCCCTCACAGGGGACAGGGGGAGGCTGCACCCGCCAGGCTGCTGTCCACCCTGCCCGGGGCTCACAGGACCTGGCCTCCCCAGCTCAGCTCGCCTTTCCCACCACCAGGGACAGAACCGGGTTCAAGGGTCCACTTGGGCCACAGGAAGACCAGCCCCCGCACTTGCCCCCAAAGACGCCTTGCAAGGCCTGGGGGGCTCCCATTTGCCCCCGCCCCACCACGGTGCCCCTCCCCCTGCTCTGAGCTCTCACCCCTCCGCTCCCCCTCCACGCCTCCTTCTTTCCAGGCGTCCACACAGCACAGGAGTCTGGCTCGCTCCCATGGCGGTGGAGCCCCTGCCTTGCCCTGCTCTTGGGGCGCCCTCGTCCCTCGCCAGCGGGCGCACTCCATCTGTCCCCCGATGCCTGCATCCCCACCCCACCAAGCACGCACCCACGCAACTCAGGCGTCACCGCTGCCAGCAGCGGCCAAGCCATCCCCTGCTCCCCTGGGACTCATGGCTGACGTTGACCCGGAGTAGGGGGGGACACAGCCATGGACGGCGAGGCCAGTGGGGCCAGCACGCCAGGGCCCCGCCCAGCGTCAGGTGCCAGCAGTAAGCTGAGGAGGAAGCTCCGGCCTCAGTCAACAGACCCACAAGTCGCGAGCTTCGCGACCCAAGGCACCTGTGACAACTGGAAGTGGCCGCAGCACCTGATGGGGCGGTGCTGAGTCACCGCGAGGACACTCCAAGGGGCTCAGCGGCCCCCACAAGGCCCTAACCCAGCTGCCCCCTCGGCCGCCATCCCTGGGCACTTGGACAACATCAGGAGACCCCAGTTCTTAAAAGTGGCCCGCGGCTGCCATCGGATGAAGGCCGCAGGGGCTGCTCACCGCGACACGGCCCAGAGCGGCTCCCACGGCAGAGGACAGCCCTGAGCGGCCAGCACCAGCGCTGGGCTTGAGGGCTTAATTCCCAAGGGACGCCACGGGGCTCCTGGGCGTCCGGAGCTCGGCGCCCAGCATGGGGAGCGAGCAATCTGCAGCAGGTGCGCCTGCGCGCACAGACCCCGTCACCACTGGGGCGTCCCTGACAGCTCCTCCCTTGCTTCTCCGGCCGTGGCTCCCCTCCCGGAGCACCTGCTGCTGGGGGTTCCGTGGGGCGTGGGCAGCAGAACAGGCCCCACCCCTTCTGCTGGCTCAGGGTGGAGCAGGAGGGGAGCGTGGGCAGACGCCAAGTCAGGCCAAGCCGATGCCACGGCTGCAGCCTGGCCCGTGGGGCGCTTTCTCCAGCGCTGGGCGTGCGTGGTGAGGTCCCCGCCCACCAAGCCCCTACCTCCAGTGTCCAGGTCGTGGAAGTTGGGATCCAGGCCTCGGTCCAGCATCTTCACCATCTTCTCCACTGACCGATGCTGAATGTGATCCATGAATTTTTTCAGATTGGTCTAAAAACAGAAAATAAAACAAAGGTCGCGGCTGGGTAAAGACCAGCTCCTTGTCAAGGGGCTCCTGGGCCCCCAGGGGTGGGAACTCACCCTCGACTGCCAACTTGGGGGGGCTCCAGGCAGTGTCTTTCTGCGTCTGGGACCCCAGGGCCCAGCTCGGGGTCAGCTGGTGACCGCCGCCACCAGCCTCTCCCCACATACGTCCGGCCACCCCCAATGCAACGGCTCTCAGAGACAGCCCTGGGCGGCCTGGGGTCACAGCCCCCTGGTCACGTGACGATGCAGAGAGAAGACACCGCCCATGAACCAGACATGGAGTTCACCGGTGCCCAAGACGTCCTGGGCTCCAGAATGGTCTGTAAATCACCCATGAGGCTCGGCCACAGGACCCCGCGCAGTCAAGGCCCCAGGGCACAGGCCTGGGCTCCGGGAGCACTTTGCCTGTCCACAGCGTCCGGCAGCCACGCGGGGGCACGGGGCCCAGGAGTCAGAAATGGTGCACTCAGGGCAGCAGGCCAGGGCCATCCCGGCGGGGAGAGCGGCCCCGGTCCCCGGGGCTGGAGGTGAAGGGACCCGTTCACGCCCCATGAGGGCACCCCAGCCCGGCCGCGTCCCTGACTTCCTGCCCTGCCAGCAGAGGGCTCGGGGACTCGGCCGCGATCGCAGGGTCCCCTTTCCTCTCTCTGACAGGCGCAACACTTCCCTCCAGCCTCAGACGTGGCCCTGCCCCAACACTACCCGGAAACCCAGAGGAGGGCACGGGGCAGAACCCGCTCAGAGGAGCTCGGATCCGCAGGTGAGCAGGCGTCCAGGGCAGCCTTCCGATTACTGCAGGGAAGGCGGCCAGGCCACGCCCAGCACTCAAACCCCGCCCCCCTCAGAGCCCCTGCCTTCGCCCCTCCCTGGAGCTCCATTTGCCCCCCTCCCTGGGCCCCCAGGAGCCAACCCTGCTGCCTCTGAGTGGCAGAGGGGTCTGGCGGCAGCCTGCACCGCAGCACAGCCCACGCCTGCCTCACACCACGGCAGGTGCCCAGGGACGAGGACCCCACCCAGAGAACAGGAGCGCAGAGGACTCTGGGCTGGCGCTGGCCACGCCTCCTCGTACCTTGGAGTGGAGCTTGGCCAGCTGCTTCTCGTCCAGGCTGGACTTGTACACCCGCTTCTTGTAGCGAAACTGCGCAGAAACAGGGAAACACGTGAACGCTTGGCGTGGCCGCCCGGAGGGAAAGCCGGCCCCGCCCAGGCACCTCGCCGCCGCTGAGGACCCCGTAGCCGACACCTCCGGCCACCTAAACCACGGTAATGCACGCAGAGCCGCCTGTGCCAAGACTCTGCAGGGCTGGTGCAAGGCCATCAAACAAAACAAACAAGAGCAGTACCAGGCGAAGCAGAGCGAGGACCCCTGGGAGAGGCTGGCCCGACGGTCGCTCCCCGGGCTAACGGGACCTCCCGGACCCGGCCCGGACGAGGGAGTCTGCATCGAGGCCACTGCAGCCCGGCGGGCTCGCCCTCCAGCTCCACCCTCATCAAAGTGTGTGTCTGACGCCCGGGCCCGGCCCCGAGCACATGGGCAGCCGCTGCCCAGGGCTCCCGAGCAGACTGAAGCGGAGACCACGCGGGGAGGGCGAGCAGCGCAGGCCACCCAGGCGCCCGGCAGAGCACGGCTGGGAAGCCCCCTGCACCTTCCCCTCAGCACCCCCGCCCTCCCTGGCTGCGCCCAGGGCCGGGAGCACCCGGAGCTCGGTCATCCTGGAAAACGCGGGTGGACACACAGCTCCCACTGGCTGCACCTTAGGGCGGGACACTGTCTCCATCGCAGACTCCATTTCCTTCCCTGTCCCACGGGCAGAGTGACCCCCACCTCCCGGGCTGACGGCAAGCTGACCGAGACCATCTTCTGCCTCCCTCCCTCCCTCCCTCGAAACCCACACCATGGAATTCCCGCTCCAACTGAGCACGAGCAGAGCTGCCCAGGAAAGGCCCGGGGGCGGCTGGGGGCCAGGGGGCGGGGTCCGAGCAGACCCTGCAACTGGCTGTCTCATCCCAAGGATGGTTTCCAAGGCGACAATGCCAGCCCCGCCCACACACAGAATGGTGACACGACACATTCCTTCCACATAGACTGACACTTGTCTTTTGTTTCCTTGCAAAGATGAACCAGCTGTGAAAGCGGGAAGTCCCAGGAGGCTCAGGCGGCCTGGAGAAGGCACTGGTCTGAGTCGCACCTGCGAGCCGTGGGCCGGGACCCCCACCCCGCCGATGCTCAGCCCCCGCCCCAGGGGCACCACGTCCTGGGCGTCTCATGTTCTGGGCGTCCGCGGCGTCCCTCTACCCCCGTGTCCATCTGCAGAGACCTCGTAGAAGTAGTGACAGTGACGCGGGATGAAGGCGAAGATGGCCGTCCCGTGGCCACACACGAAAAGCCCACGGGAAGCCCACGGAGACACAGGGCACGGGGCGAGGGCTGCTGACATGGTTCGTGGGAGGGACACGCTTCAGAGCCACTCAGCGACATGAGGACGGGGGCTCAGAAGCGGACACGGCGCTGAGCAGCCGGCCACACCCACTGAAGCAATGCAGGACGGAGCCCCGATGGCCGCCTGCCCCTGCCCTGTCCACCCAGGGACGTCCCAGGCAGGACGGTCGCCAGGGAGAAGCATGACATCGGGGTCATCAGCGACATCGTGGCACGGTGACCCAAGGTTGTGTGGGACCGCTGGCAGCTGGGCACACACCGAGCCTCACGGGCGCCCCGAGAGGTCACCACCAATGCACCCCAACTTCAGAGTCGCGAGGCTGCAGCTCATGGGTGACCAGCTGTGAGTGCCAGGTGCCCAGAGCCCCTGGTCTTCTCGCAAGGTTGCCACAGCACAGACCACCCTCTGCTCTAGCTGTCACCCCCCACAACCTTGGCTCTCTGTGCGCGCTGTCTGTGCCTCGGAAGCACCTGGCACATCGTGGGCCCTCGATGGCGGACGTTTCCTTTCCAAGAGGATACCCATTTCACAGATCAGCAAACTGAGGCCAGAAGCGATTTCCAGAACCTCACAACCTCCAGCAGCGTCTGTCTCTTCCTCCGCTGAAGCCCCCCCAGCAGCCCAACGCCTGTCCCACAGCAGCGGGCAACGGGCTCCAGCGACAGCCGCACTCCACACCACAGCCTCTCCTGGCTGGTGGCGGCCCACACAGACACCGTCCCCGGCAGCAGTGGCTGGCTCATGGCACCGGACGATGACATCTCTGGCCACGTGGGGAACTGCCCACACAGGGGCGCAGGGCCCCCAGCCTCTGATCGGCCACGTTGTGAGGGAGACACGTCCGCCACCATGTTGTCTGAGGGCAGGGGTGCTGATTCAGGGGCGGTGACATCACAGAGGCCACTGGTTGTCACCCAGGAGTCCCGGCGCGAGCTCCCAAAGCCCCGGCTGTCTCTCCTGCGAGAGCAAGGCTTCCCGCATGCTAACGAGACGGCTTGGGCTTCTCGGCTTCAGGACCCCAGCGGAGCCCAGCTTCTGGCCACAGGTGGAATCCAGCGGTCAGGGCAGGGCGAGGACCTCGCCTGTCCTGCGGTGACAGGCAGAGTCCAGAGAGCCTCCGTGCTGGCAGAGGCAGCCCGTGGCGGGGCGTTCACCCCAACTCCTCGGGGATGTTCCTTGGGTCCCCGCCCTGTGCCCCTCTGCACTCGGCCACCCATCCGTCCCCTGCCAGACCCCAGACGACCCCCCCCAAGCCGCAACAGCAGGCGAGGACCCTGCTGACTCCCGTGAGCCACTCACGCAATCAGCGACCCTAGGAGGGGCCCGTGGGAGCTCCGGGTTTACAGCTAAGGCCGACCAGGGACCCGACCCCGCGCCTGGCAGGTGGCACGAGGCCACGGTCTGGAGAGGCAGGAGAAGGCTGGCGTGCACGCCACACCCTCGGCGTCGGGAGGGAGACGCCAACCCCGGGCGCACGTGCAGGATGCACAGGCCCGGCTGGCGTGAGCTGGAATCCGATGTGAGGTCTGTTCACACCACGGCCCCCAACACACACACACGGGGCTGCTTCAGACAGCCCACGAGCCACGGACCAGATCCCTTTATTTGGGTGCAAAAGTGTCTGAAAACCACACACGTTTTTCACGCTAGGCGTTTTCCATAAACGCTGTTTAAGGACTTCCGTGTGCGTGATTCCGCGTGACCTCTCCCGCCCACGTCCCACCAGCTTCCCGAACGGCTCTCCCCCTGCGGGGTCTGCAGAAACAAAGCAGACGCATAAGCTGCACGTGCAGGGCAAAATCGAGGCCCCAGGCCGGTTTGTTAGCTGGGGGGTCACGGCCAACCCGAGTCGCGCGGGGATCGCGGCCGCGTTCGGGGGCTCGCGGTACCTCCAGGGACGGCACGCCCGCGCCCACGGGCTGCGGGTACTCCCGCAGCAGCCGCTCCTCGTCCAGGAACTTGCCGTGGCGCCCGTTGCTGGCCGGCTGGAAGAGCCCGTAGTTGAGGACGTCCTTCAGGCTCTGCGTCAAGGTGCACAGGATCCGCTGCTTGGCGGTCCACACCGTGGCGTCCGGGTTGAAGCGGATGCACTTCTGCGAGGAGGCACACGGACAGCCGGTCAGGGACGCGGGGGCCGGGGGGTCGCGGCCGCTGCCCCTCCCTCCTGAGCCTCGGGCCCGCGGCCTTTGGGGCTACTGCCTCTCGGGGCGCGGAGACGCCAGGCAGATATGAGAGTGGACACCGACGGGACGCCTGGGTCTCTCCCGCAGGCTCAGCTCTCGGGGGCCCACCAGGTGTTTTAGGGCACCACAGACCCCCCAGCGCCTCCCCACCACCACCCAACAGAGCAGATGCAGCGGGTGTGGGTGGCCTGAGAACCTGCATTCTCAGGTACCTCTGGGTGAGGCCCTTGCTGCCGGTCCCGGGAGCACGGATGGCCCTGGGAGGCACAGGGTCTCGGTTGCCGGCCCCTGTGGACGACAGAATCGGCGGCCTCCAAGTCCCTCACTCAAGAGGGCACGCACCCCCACCCCGTGGCCGACTGCTCACAAACACTGCAGCTGTGGCTTAGGAAAGGAAAACAGGCAACGCCACACGTGCCCAGCGTGGACATGCAGACGGCTGCACCCGACACAGAACAGCGGCTCCACGTGTCCACACGGCCGCCCCGGGCTCATCCAACACAGGGTGCCCTTCCACGATGACATCGCTGACGGCCACCCGCGGGTCCTTGTCCCACCTGGGTCACTCCACAAAGCTTTCAACACGACGCCACCCCCGGCCCAGAATCCAGGGCAGCGACAGGAATCCCGGCCTCCACCCAACCCCACCAAAGAAATGACGCCGCGAACACCCCTTCCCCTGTGGGTCTGCCTTCCAGGGGTGGCGAGCTCTGCCCGCACGGGGACAGACGTGGCTGAGGGGACCTCAGGGAGTTCTGCATCCAGAGAGGAGGAGGAGGGTGGTGGTGACGATGGGACCAGGGGACACTAAGACCACGGTGGTGATGGCAGGGAGACGTGAGCATGTGGACGAGGACGGTGGCGGTGGGCACGAGGACGGTGGCGGTGGGCACGAGGACGGTAACAAAAATGATGGCGATGAGGATCACGGTGGAGACGGTGATGGTGATGGTGATGGTGCCGGCGGAAATGGAGGTGATGACAATGGGGTCATGGGGACGACGGGAAGGAAGGGCCTGGCCGTGGTCGGCCTCCGTGGGGGTCAGGGAGGGGCCTGGCTGTGGACAGCCTCCATGGGGGTCGGGGAGGCGCCTGGCCATGGTCGGCCTCTGTGGGGGTCGGGGAGGTGCCTGGCCGTGGTCAGCCTCCGTGGGGGTCGGGGAGGCGCCTGGCTGTGGTTGGCCTCCGTGGGGATCAGGGGCAGCGCCTGGCCGTGGTCGGCCTCCGTGGGGGTCGGGGGAGGGGCCTGGCCATGGTCAGCCTCCGTGGGGGTCGGGGGAGGGGCCTGGCCATGGTCAGCCTCCGTGGAGTCGGGGAGGGGACTGGCCGTGGTCAGCCTCCGTGGGGGTCGGGGAGGCGCCTGGCTGTGGTTGGCCTCCGTGGGGATCAGGGGCAGCGCCTGGCCGTGGTCGGCCTCCGTGGGGGTCGGGGGAGGGGCCTGGCCATGGTCAGCCTCCATGGGGTCGGGGAGGGGACTGGCCGTGGTTGGCCTCGGCCTCTGCCGGCTTCACGGGACACATCCTGCACGGCGATGCCCTTCCCTGCCCTCACTGTACCCTGTGTACACACACAACACACAAACATGAACACACATGTATAAAAACACACAAACATGCACACACATGTATAAACACACATCCATACAACACACACGACACACACATGTACACAAGTGCACGTACACAGACAACATGCATGTGTACAGACACACACACAAGCATGCACTCAGCACCACACACACGATGCAAAATGAACGTATACAAGAGTAGCAGTCCTTCGTCTCAATTAACCTTGTCCCGCTGGCTCCCGAAGCCGTGGTCGGGAGAAGGCGGCGGCCGTCTGTCCCGAGTGACGGGCGGGTGTGCTCTGCTGGCCTGCGACTGCTCCACTGCCGGCCCCGTGTGCTTGGATGCAGCCACCTCGGGCTCTGCTTGCCAGACAGTGGGCGGCTCGGGATGTAACAAAGCCTCCAGTAACTGTGTTCCCATGTGCAGTGAACCCCGCGGCCGCCAGGTAACAGGACACCGGACACCCCACGTGTGCAGTAACCAGGGAGGCTGAGAGCAGATGCCCCGGCCTTGTGCGGCCTAATTCACGCTGACCTCCTGGTAAGAGGCCTCGGCGTCGACTCGCACACGCATCCCGCCAGCACCGGACTCGGACATCTGTGCGGGTTTCCTAACAGCCGTTCGCGTGAGCTCTTCGGATTTCAAATTTTTTGCACCCAAAAATTATGTTTTCATTCTCCGTGAACTTTTTGAGGCGCCCTTTTACACACACACACACACACACACACACACACACATTAGCAAATACACGAGCCTAACGGTGCTCGGGAAAGTCCACGGGAATAGAACTGTAGGTTCACGGGGCGGGGGGGGGGGATCGAGACGCCTACGGCAAAGAGACCAGGCAGGGCCTCCGAGTGCCCCAGCGCAACCGTCCTCTTTTCTGTTTTTCTACACATACATACACACAAATTACACAACACGTGTGCACACACACGCGTGCTGGCTAGGCGGTGACAACCTCACCACCACCACGCCCAGACCCCCTGGGCTACACCACGCCAGGTGATGTGGGGAGAGGCAGGAGTGGGCTCACAGCAGCACAGCCGGTTTGTGGCCGACGCCAGCTGGGATTTGGGGACACGCACAGCAGCCAAGCGAGGACCTGCAGGGCGGCTCCTACTGGAGGGACCCTGGCGAGAGTCAGCCACTCCCCTCCCTGCTGGCTCGGGACCTCCCACCTGACGAGGGCCCCTCCCTCTCCCCCACCCACCCTCCCTCCCTCCGACTGGTGCCCGCACGGCCAATGCCCAAACGCGGCCACGGACACTCTCTCCCTCTCCCTCTCTCTCTGGAGACCCAGCACACTGGTGCCCGCACGGCCAATGCCCAAACGCGGCCACGGACACAGGAAGTTTATAAAAACAGGGCTCTAGAAGGCACAGGGAGGCGCTGGGTGCCCTTGGCCCGCGAGGACGGCCTGGCCCGAGGGGGCCGGAGCCTCTGCCTGTTCCGGCTACAGTGGGAGACACCCAGGCTGCGGATTCAGCTTCCATCAGGAAGAACGTTTTCAAACGGGAAAAGCTTAACAGCAGCCGCCCGAGGCCACGGTGAAGCAGCAGGCGGCCGGCGGCCCCTGGGGACTTGAAAGGGGCTTCGTACCATCTCCGCTGCCCCCTGGGCGACACTGAGCAGAGGGACTGTGGGTGGCTTCTGTCGGGGACTCACGGACTCCTTATGATGGATGCACTGTGGTGCCTCTCCTAACGGCCACGGCACGTGGCAGGGCCACCGCCAGCCCAGAAGCGACCCAGTGACATCAAGTGGCAGACACCAGGCTCCTCCTGCGAGCCAGAGGCCCACTAAGCAAGGGCGCCACGCGCATCAGCTTCCGCCCAGGTGCACAGGAAAGGGGGTGGAGCCCCAGGAAACCCCCAAACACAGGGCGTGTCTGCAGCCCAGAGGCTTCTCTAGCAGAAAACCAAGCACCAAGCACTTCCCCAGAAAACCAAGCACCAAGCACTTCCCCGACGTAAGAATGGAGGCCCCGCCTCTGGGAGTCGGTCCAGAGGTGTCTAAAGGCGTCCTCTGTGAGAGGTGACAAACACAGCAGGCGGCCTCGGCTGTCCCCCAGGCGACCTGCAGGGCAGGCAGAGGGTGCGGCAGCATCTGCAGGGACAGGGAGCTGGGCGGAGACCCCACGATGCCACTGAGAGGGCGCCCACCGCCCAGGGGAAGGGCCGGCCACGGGGTCCTGGGTCCGCGCCCTGGGGATGTCCCTTCCCGCTGAACTGACTCAAGTCAACACGACTTGGCTCTCGTGTTCACACACACAGGATGCAACGCAGCCGTGGTTCTCAGCGGCCCGAGGGTGCCCGTGACCTCCTCACGGGGACGGGTGCCACGCTGCAGGCTCCCCAGGGCCGCGGCACCCACCCGGCTCATGCTCTCCGCCAGCGCGGAGGGGAAGAGCCGTCTGTGTCCCCAGGCACGCACGGGAGGCAGCCGGGAACCTCGCAGAGCAAGCACGCGCCACAGGGCTTGGGCGTCAGCACTCCTGACTCCGGGTTCAGGGTCAGCGGGTCGATGTCCTACAGAGACAACACACAAGACAAGGCTGGGTACTAAGAAGACCGGGGACTGATCTGTGACCAAAACACAACCGGAGGGGCCGGCGCTGTGGCGTAGTGGGTAAAGCTGCCGCCTGCAGTGCCGGCAGCCCATATGGGTGCCAGTTTGAGTCCCAGCTGCTCCACTTCCGATACAGCTCTCTGCTATGGCCTGGGAAAGCAGTAGAAGATGGCCCAAGTCCTTGGGCCCCTGCACCCACGTGGGAGACCTAGAAGAAGCTCCTGGCTCCTGGCTTCGGATCGGCGCAGCTCCAGCCGTTGTGGCCACTTGGGGAGTGAACCAGCGGATGGAAGTCCTCTCTGTCTGTCTGTCTGTCTCTCTCTCTCTCTCTCTCTCTCTCCTGCCTCTCTGTAACTCTGCCTTTCAATTAAATAAATCTTAAAACAAAAACAAAAACATACACAACCAGAGGCCCACAGGAACCTCCCCGTGTTCACTGCCCGAAGGAGTCACAGCTCCCTGTTCGTGGGTTCAGGGTCTTCTGCTCGCACGAGAGGTACCAAGAGCCCACTGCGCCGGCTGGGAGGGAGGCGTCCTGAAAACCGCCCAGCAGAGAACTCCGTCCCACTCGGGTGCCAAACAGATCAGGGAGAGGCCTCTGGGACGTCTGGCGACGGGCGTCCACTCTGGAAGAGATGGGACGATGCCAGCTCTCCAGGCAGGAGGGACGACGAAAAGCGTCAGGGACGTGAGGGCGTGCAAACAGCTGAGCACACGAGCCGCAGGAGGCGGGCGGTGCCCCCAGGGAGTCTGTCCTGGCTCAGAGCTAAACTGCACCTGCAGGCTCCTGAGTCAGGTGCAGCCCCTGGGCATGCTGGGAAGGTGGGGTGGAGTCTCACGCTCCCCAAGATCTCGCTCCCCTCCCCCACCTTCCAGACAGACACTGAGGACTCTGGGAAGGAGCCTGGGGCCCTGAATGCCTGCATGGATCCAACTGCCCGCCTCTCCCTCCTCCTGCCACCCAGCGGACAGAAAATTCAGACGGCAGCCCGGAGCTCAAGGCTTTTTTTTTTTTTTTAAGATTTATTTTTATTTATTTGAAAGGTAGAGTTACGGGAGGGGGGCGGACTTCCATCTGCTGGTTCACTCCCTAGATGGCCACAATGGCCGGACCTGGACCAATCTGAAGCCAGGAGCTTCTTCTGGGTCTCCCACGTGGGTACAGGGGCCCAAGCACGCGGGCCGTCCTCCACTGCTTTCCCGGGTACATTAGCAGGGAGCTGGATCAGAAGTGGAGCAGCCGGGACTCCAACCGGTGCTCACATGGGGCCACTTTACCGGCTGTGCCACAGCTCCGCCCTCAGGGTGTTATGACGGCAATTATTAGCTGAATTCAGCTCAAATGATGCAGGAAGGGAGTGCAGCAAGTAACGCAGGAGGAAACTGATTAAAATCGAAAGCAGGTTCCCGCTGCAACACCACGTGCCCGGGTTTCGCCACCGCTTCTCTGACTTCACGGATCACTTAGCAACAGAGCCTCTGGCAGGAGTTCCAGCACCTGCTGCCGTCTCCTCCTTTTATATGCAAATAAAATACCGCTAATGCTGTCCGTGCCCTCCCAGCTTAGCAACACGCATCCCCCGTGCACACCCACCTGCCACCTGCCACCCTCAGGGAGGCGACAGCTGACGACGACCCCACTTCCGAGACCCCCACTCACATGTGCTTGTGTTGCTTTAGTTCATAAAACAGAGCCCCCTGTATCCACAGTCTCTGTCACCCACGGTCAACATTAATGTGTCTGGACTCTCAACCAAGAGTGACAGAGGGGCAGAGGGCTCCCATCAGAGCTCCGGTTCCAGTCCCGGCTGCCCCACTCCGATCCTGCTCCCTGCTAACGCGCCTGGGAAAGCCCACGGCGGGAGGCCCGGATGGAGCTCCCGGCTCCTGGCTTGAGCCTGGCCCAGCCCTGGCTGTTGTGGCCACTTGGGGAGTGCACCAGCAGATGGGAGAACTGTGTCGCTTTGCCTTTCAAATAAACAAATAAATCTAATGAGAGAGAGAGAGAGAGACAGAGAGAGAGAGGGACAGAGAGAGACAGAGAAACAGAGACAGAGAGAGAGAGGGACAGAGAGAGAGACAGAGAGAGAGAGGGACAGAGAGAGACAGAGACAGAGAGAGGGACAGAGAGAGACAGAGAGATTGTTCACCCAGCTTCAACTACGACACATTGTTACAACTACTCCACCTTACCCCTTGTTTATGAATTCAAGGTTCAGGGGCCGCACACGGGCCCCCCACAGGTAAGGGCTGGGCCACAGCCCCACACGCGCCCCCCACAGGTAAGGGCTGGGCCACAGCCGCACACGTGCCCCTCACAGGTAACAGCTGGGCCACAGCTTAGATCCGAGGCGTCAGGTAACACAGGAGGACAACACCCAGTGGCCACGCCTTCCCGCCTGAAAAGCCACCTCGTGCTGGCTTTCGTCCTGGGTCACAGGTCACCCTGCGCTTGCAGGAGGAGAAGCCACCTGGCTTCCACATCCCAGCACCCCACCCGAGAGGGCAGGGACCGGCTGGGCTGTGAGCTACACGCACCATGGGAGGGCAAGTGCTAGCGGCCAGCCCTCACCCAGGTCCCAGCCCCTGGAGGTGCTGGACCAGGGAGACCGCTGGGTGGATGCCAGCATCCCAGAGCCAGCAGGTGGCACAGCCAATGGCCCCGTCCCTGGCTGTGGGCCCTGCCAGCGCTGACCACTAGCTTGTCCAGGACTCACGCTGAGGCTGGGCCTCGGGGGTGGGCACAGCTCTTCCGTGGGAGGGGACGGCCACACGGCCAGCCTGGACCTCCCCTGCTCTCCTGCACGAGCCCGCTTCCCCTCACCACACTTTCCCACCGCGAGCTGAACCACCCACCACGGGGCCCTGGCGGGGGCGGAGCCAGTGCCAGTGTGCCATGGACTTGAACTTCCCAGGCCCAGAACCTCTGCCCTGTGTGGAGTCCCCACCTTGAGTTTTTGTTTCAGCAACAAAAAACTAACAGGCCCTTCCCCGCCAGCGCCTGGGCCGGGTCAAAGGGCCGGACCCACAGCACTGGGCACACACCACCCGGCTCTCTTCCCCGCCTTCAACCCAGATCTAAGACAAGAGGGGTCCTCCTAGCACCCAAGACCCCGCAAACAACCAAGTACAAGACACAGACGCAGACGGGATCCTCCCGGGGCGCCCAGCGGGGTCCTAACACTCGGACAGCCACACCGTCATCCACAGGAAGTGGACATCGTGGCCACTACCACCCCAGCCGGCACTCCAGCGGGCCAGCCAGGCCCACAGAGCTCGGCACCTCCAGCTCCAGCACACCCACAAATTGAGGCGGCTGCAGAGAAGGCCTTGCGGGAGCACGGTGGGGTGGGGGTGGGGTGGGAGGGACAGAGTGAAGGCCACTCCTCCCTCCCACACAAGGACGCCTGTCTGTGAAGAGCCCCAGAGGGAGGGGTGTCCACCCCTCAAACCCCAGGCAGAGACACGGGGCCACCTAGGGTCACCTACAGCCCTGGGAGACACAGGGCCACTGCTGGTCACCCACAGCCCCGGGCAGAGACCCAGGGCCACTGCTGGTCACCCACAGCCCTGGGAGAGACCCAAGGCCACTGCTGGTCACCCACAGCCCTGGGAGAGACCCAAGGCCACTGCTGGTCACTTGCAGCCCCGGGCAGAGACCCAGGGCCACTGCTGGTCACACATGAGAACTCCCACTGCAGAGAGGCTCACCTTGGGGTCACCAGCTGGGCTGTGCACCCCACTCCGCAGCAGCAGGGCAGTGAGGCGCTCGATCCAGACGCACCCCGATGGGCACCGCACAGCTCCCCACCCTTGGTGTGTGCCCCGCGGCCACTTTCCAGTCCTGAAGGGCACAGCTCCACAGAACCACTGCACAGGGACTCCCCGGCCCCTGCCTGCCACCTCAGGCCTCACCTCCCCCCTCTGCCCTCACCTCTGACCTCCGACCTCACATCCCCCTTCCCGCCTCACCCCCCCACCTCCAACCTCACTCTGACTTCCCCATCCCAGCTAAGCCAGCCCCATTCGCCAGGCTCCAGGTCCCACTGGGGGCCTTTTGGTGGTCCCTGCCTTCAGGGCTGGGGGGACCCCTCCTGCAGCACCTCAGGACGCTCCCAGTCTCGCCAGCTGCCCCTCCCTAGGCACAGAGCACCCGGGCCCCTCAGAGGCGACAGTGGCCAGGCGCCAAGTGTCGGACAGCACAGCATGCAGCCCTGTGTCCACACCTTGCGAAACCCGGACCAGCAGGCCACGCCCATGGGCAGTCAGGGGCTGTGTCAGCACAGGAGGTGTCTGTCCCTCGTCCATAGCCGTCACCCAGAGCCACCGCCACGGGGCCACCCCCCACACTGTCCCAGCCCCACCATCCACCATCCAGGGGAGATCAACAGGCCAAGCAGGGCCAAGCAGCAGCCCGGGGCCAGGGCAGCCCAGGAAATGCCACAGGCCCAGAGCGCGAGGGACAGCTAGGGCCGGGCAGCAAAGGCACAACTCGCAGACAGAGCCCGCGGCCCTGGGGCCCACACAGAGCACAGACCTCAGGCTCCAGCCCACTGACGGGGAGCAGCGGGTGTGGCCGGGGCAGGCAGGGCTGCCCTGGGGCTTCCCACGAGGGAGCTGGAGACCCAGCCCTGCAGCGCCCCCTACTGCTCAGGCTTCCTCAGCAGGACGGGCAGCGACTGGCTCCGCAGAGTTGTGGACGGCAGGGGCGGGCCGCGAGGGTGGACGGCACGGGGCGGGCGGATAGGGTAGACGGCAGGGGACGGGCCACGAGGGTGGATGGCAGGGGGCGGGCCACGAGGGTGGACAGCACGGGGCGGGCCGAGAGGGTGGACGGCAGGGGGCGGGCCGCGAGGGTGGACGGGGCAACCGGGACAGCACTGGGGAGGGGGGTGCGTCAGGCCCGCGGCCACTCGGTGGCGCTCACTCCTCGAAGTGGACCAAGGATGCGGGCCGCGGGGCAGGGAGTGCGCTCACCGTCTGCTGCAGGTCCGGGATGACCACGCGGATGACCAGTGTGTTGCCCTGGTTCTCCTCCGTGTGCGCCCCGCCCGGCTTTTGTGCGGTGGCCCGGATGGTGTCGTAGATGGTCTCCTCTCTGGAGCTGTCCGACTCGGAGCCCTCGGAGTCGTCCGAGACGCTCGGGGCCATCTCGTCCTCGCTGGACGTCGGGCTGCGCGGCATGGCTTCCCTGGCTCTGCGTGCCGGGGGAGGGGGAGGGGAGAGACGAGGGAGAAACGTGAAAATCACCGGAGGCCGGGGCGCGGCGGGCGCGGGCGTGGGAAGGGGTGTGAGCTCTCCTTCACAGGCACGCGACTGTGGGTGTGTCCGCCGGCCACGGGCCACCTGGGTGTCACACACACAGATCCCAAGAGGCAGTAAGAACCCAGCGCCGCCCGGCTCCTGCAGAGGCAGCCCAAGGCCGCAAACCCCGGGCTGCGGCACTGCCCAGAGCTCGCAAGCCTTCAGCAAAAGGCCGCTGGAGTATTCCCAAGGGGGGAGGACAGGGCTGCTTTCTTGTTCTTTCTGCGGACAAAGACGCGGGGGGGGCGTCAGGGTGGGAGGGGAGGGGAGCGGAGGGGAGGGAAGCGAACAGGGCCGTGGGTCAGCACGCAGCGAGCTCCGGCTGAAATAACCCCCCTCTGCTTCAAACACGGAGCAAAGACAGCACCGTGCAGAAGTAGCACAAAGACGGGGCCAGCCGGGGACCACCTCCAGGAGCAAAGTCAAGAGCAGCCTGCAGCCTGAGGGTCGGAGCGCGGGGAGGGGTCCCAGACGAGCCCCAGGCCGGGCGCTTCCACGGAGCGATCCGGCCGCAGGGCTGCCTGGCGCTCAGGAGTCACCCGCCCGGCGGCGCCGCCCCATGGACACAGATGCTGGGGCAGCGCCGAGAACCCGAGGTGTGTTCCACGCTGCCACCTCCAGAGTAGACACGGCTTAGCCTGGAGCGTCCCCCACAACCACGGCGCAGCGCCAGGAGCCCTGGCCCAGGCTGTGCCTTTCCCGCCCACTGCAGAACTCAGCGCAGGACGCCTGCCTTCCACCTGCAGGGCTGCATGGGGAGTGGGGTGTGGACACGCACGTGCCCGGCCACACCTGCGGCGGCTCGCCTGCGCGCCACCTGTCCTCGGAGGAGACAGAAAGGCAAAGCACTGGCATTTAAGGGGCACAGACCAGTCCCCAGGGGCTCTCACATCGCTTCCTCCCCGGGGCCCGGAGTAGCCGGTGGCTACAGCAGGCACTCACCGGGCACCAGAGCTGGGCAGGTGGGGGAGCAGGGGAGGCACCCAGGGAAGGCGCAGGCCAACAGCAAGCCTGCAGAGAAGACCAGCACGCAGAGTTGGCGTCCCCGGAACGCCGAGGCCTGGCTGCTCCCTGCGCCGCCCAGGCCGCTGTTCTAGAAGCGCCCGGCACTCACAGCAGCGGCCTCTGGGGACCGTCCGAGAGTATCCAGGCTGCTCAACATCCCCATAAACCCATCGGGACTCAAAAACATCACAAGCTGGGGACGCACGGCACACTCGCGCAAACCCGTGGTCCAGTCAGGAAACCATCGGTACCGGCCGCTCGCTGAGCCATCGTGGGCGGGGACGGCGCCTCCACTGCTCTCAGGTAAACTGAGGCACGCGCAGGTTTTTTTTTTTTTTTTTTTTTGAGTGAATTTGAACCCAAAGTGGATTCGGACTCCAGCACAGGGAGGCCGTGGGAGCAGCAGATGGCCACGGCTGTGCCACCACCCGCGCGGCCTCCCCTTGGGAGCCCTTGGACGCCCAGCGCTGAGCGGGTCAGCAGCTTCTGGCTGGCTGGCTTCAGGTTCTTTGCTTTGATGTAGGTTTTTAATTTTTTTTCTTTTGAGAAATGGCCCACGGCCAGCTTCCCTTCACATCCGCAGAGCAAGCAAGGCTGGGACCACTCACGGGCCCAGCTGGCTTTGTCCACTCAGGACCCCTCAGCCCCGGCCCCTCTGACCCGATTCCCACGTCACAAACGACGCAGGGACTCCAGGTGCCTGACCACCCGTCCACAGAACACAGGGGCGACGCCAGATTGTGATATTCTAAAATATTCCATTCATTTATGAGAGGCAGACGGAGCCAGACTCACAGGTCCACCACCCAGACGCCCGCAACAGCAGGGCCAGGCCAAAGCCAGGAGCCGGGAAGCCCACCTAGGTCTCCCACGGTGGGTGACGGGACTCAGTGCCTGAGCCGCCACGGCTGCCACACAGGGCCTGAGCCAGCAGGAAGCTGGGCCTGGGAGCTGGGCTGGGACTGGAAGCCAGGCCCTCCGGCAGGGATGTGGCCGTGCCAACCACAGCTCAGCGGCTGCACCGAACGCTCCCCACGGCACATGCTACTTCGATCCGTATCCGGGAGGAAGAACCGTGACTCAGCAGTTTAGACAGCTAACTTGAACACTTCCGCTTTGAATCACCCTGACCTCGATGACGAAGTTCACTCATTCTGACTCGTGTTTCGCCTGCTCCCGTGGGAGAACGCGGGCTCCTCCAGCAGACGTCATTGTCGTCAGGAAGTCGGTCGATGTTAGATTTATTTTCATTTACACTTTCAGGAAAATATATCCAAACAACACTTTGTATCTACTGAAGATCTGACCCTTTAAATCATGACTTTTTTAAACATTTACTTTTATTTATTTGAATGGCAGAGTTACAGAGAGAGAGGTCTTCCATCCCCTGGTTCACTCCCCGAATGGCTGCAATGGCCAGAGCTGGGCCAGGCTGAAGCCAGGAGCCAGGAGCTTCATCTGGGTCTCCCACGCGGGTCCAAGGGTCTCAAGGACTCGGGCCATCCTCCACTGCTTTCCCAGGCCACAGCAGGGAGCTGGATCGGAAGTAGAGCAGCGGGACTCAAACTGGCGCCCATGTGGGAACCTGGCGCTGTAGGCGGAGGCCCCGCCCACTGCACCACGGCGCCAGCTCCTTGCTGACCTCTTTAAAGACCCTATGTCCAAATGCGGCTGCCGCATACCCGGGCCTTAGACCAGAAATCCACGGGGCCCTGGGCTGGAATGGCTGGGTCGGGGGCGGGGTCGTCCCTGCTACACAGGAAAACCAAGGTGCAGAGAGAACCCCAAAGCCTTATGACGACAGACACGTCGCCCTAGGGCGGGCTGAGCAGGCAGCACCCAGGATTCCAGTGTGCCTGTGAGATCACGCTTGTGCCCAGGGCCATTCTCCAGAGCTCGGGAGACCCGCGGGACGTCTAATGGAACGGCAGACGTCGAGCCGAACCTCCGAGCTCCAAGGAGACTGTGAACCCTCGGCTGTGACAGGCCACCAGGCTCCCAGGACACTGTCTCCTGGAGGGACCAGGAGCTGGCGGCAAGCTCAGTGCTCCGGACAGCGCCAGCCACCTCCTCCTGCTGGCCACCAGGCTGCCTGGGAGCTGTGCTCACTCGGACAGCGCCAGCCACCTCCTCCTGCTGGCCGCCGGGCTGCCGGGAGCTGTGCTCGCTCTAATGCCCGGCATGCCAAGGAGGACAGCACGGCACCAGCCCGGGCAGGAATCCAAACCCCACACCAGAAGCACAGATTCACACATCACAGGTGAAAAACCCCAGGCCAGGCCTCCCACGCCAGGGTCGGGCTGTGTCTTCGGAACGCCTGGTACGTGCCGGCCTCTCTCCTAGTGGTTTGGGTCCTGGCGTGGGCCGGAAGCAGCGGGGCTCAGCCCCCAGGAGTGGTTCTCTGCCTCCTGGGAATTCCATCAGTGCTGGGCAGGGGAGGGCGCGGGGTCCCCCACGCAAGCGGCCTGAGCAGAGCCCCAGAGCTGCCTCCCCTCCGCCCCCTCCCCGCCCCGGAGACTCACCTGCACCGGGGGGCAGCGGGCAGCGGGCAGTTGATGACCTGGAGGTGGTCTCCAGCTGCCGGCCCACCCACACGCAGCCCTTAAAGCCACGGAGACTTAATCAGCAGCCCAGGCAGGGAGGAACCTGAGGCCAGAGATGGCTGAGGCTAATCGCTCACCGCGGCTGGCAGGGCCCCGCCCACTCCCACGCCGCGCAGCCCCCGCCAAGTCTCGACAACGGAGACTGCAGGTGGCATGGCCTTCGCATCCATGGACTCCCAGGATGACCCCAGGGAGTGGCCCTGGTGCTGCCTGCCTGATCAGCTCTGACGGCCAGGGCACGGAGCTGGGTGGGTGGGGTCTAGGGCATTCGCCATCTTCTAAGGGGCTCCCAAGAGAGGCCTCTGCCCGCACCTCACGCAGGACTCACGAGGTCGGTATAGCAGATGCCAGCCAGGGTCTGCAGTGTCCGGCCACCAGGCAGGAGGCAGCCGTATCCACGTGACCCTCCCAGTTGTCAGCAGCAGGCGCTCAGGGACGGAGGGCAGCCAAGGTGGAGGGGAAAGGGGCGGAGCTGGCCACCGTCCTGAGGACCGGCCCCTGCCAAGGCCACTGAACCAAGACGGGTCCCTGGGGACCGTGCAGGGAGGGCCAACCCCGCGGGCAGCGAGCAGACCCCGCACCCACAAGGCGGGCAGATGCAGGAGGGCTCAGGAAGGCGGCAGGCGGCAGAGGGCAGCCTCTCCTTCCTAACGCGGCCACAGCGCTGTCCTGGGACACTTCTCTTGTCCTTTCTTAGCGATCTTCACACCGAGAGAAAACTCACACGACAAAAGAGCATCCATGGGCGCGGCCACCCACCACACGATCAGCTTCTGCGGCACTTGGCGACCCCAAGCGGAAACCACGCACCCAGCAGCAGGCCCACCCCACTGCCCTCAGCCCGGGAAACCACTGCCGCACCTGCGTGCTTCCGTGGCTGCTGTCCGGCACGCGGCACGGTGGCCCCACGGCCCACCCAAGGCTGCAGCACGAGGCGGAACCCTCACCAGGCTCAGGCTGGGTCACATTCCTCCAGGTGGACGGGCCACGCCACATTGCTCCATCCGTGGATGGACACGTGGCAGCCGCCTGCGCGTGGCTGTAGAGACCAAGGCCACGTGGCCATCTGTGTGTGGGTTCCCAGGGGACGCAAGCTGTCCAAGCCCTGGGGCAGGTCCTCAGAGAGGAACCCCCAGGGGAGGCAGCGACCACGCTTAACCGCGGGCTGGGCCGTCTCCGCCGGCGGCAGCCACGTCTGGACGCACGTCTCCAGCACAGCTCAGCCACCAGCTCTCGCCACGACCACCACTTGGCCTCCGAGCCTTCAGCTGTGTGCTTTGTCCAA